AAGCTTGACAAAGATGAAGAAGGTAATCATGTGGATGAAAAGCATTATAGAGGTATGATCGGAAGCCTACTTTATTTAACCGCAAGTAGACCTGATATTATGTTTGCTGTTTGCTTGTGTGCTAGATTTCAATCTTGTCCAAAAGAATCACATTTGAATGCTGTAAAAAGAATTTTTAGGTATTTGAAAGGTACATTAGACTATGGTCTTTGGTATGCTAGATCTAATGAGTTTGCTCTATATGGTTATTCGGATGCTGATTTTGGAGGTTGTCATGTGGATAGAAAGAGTACGAGTGGAACTTGTCATTTTCTTGGAAATTGTTTAGTCTCTTGGTTTAGCAAAAAGCAAAATGCAATATCTTTGTCTACAACCGAAGCGGAATATATTGCCGCTAGTGCATGTTGTGCTCAACTTTTGTGGATGAAGCACACTTTGAATGATTTTGGATTGTTGTATGACTGCATGCCTGTATTCTGTGATAATACTAGTGCTATAAATTTGACCAAAAATCCTATTCATCATTCTAGGACAAAGCACATAGATATAAAACATCACTTTATTCGTGATCTTGTTCAAAAAGGTGAAATATGTGTAAATTATGTTTGTTCTAAAGATCAATTTGCTGATATATTTACCAAAGCTCTGCCATTAGATCAGTTCATTCATCTAAGATCAAAATTAGGAATAATCGAAAAATCATCCTAATATTTCTCAAAGTCTTCGGACGTCCGAAAGAAGATGAACGGACGTCCGATGATGTTCTTCAGCCATTTTCCAGAATTGCGCCTGTTCGGACGCAACTGTCGGACGTACAACTTCGTTCGGCCGTCCGACAGTGCAACGGCTCATTTGTTTTAAATCAACTTTCTTCCTCATTTGCTTCAATTTTTTTTTTTATTTCCTCTCGGACGAAAACCCTCTCATTTCTCACTCTCAAATTCATACCATTCTGAAGCTCTCATTCCCAAATTGATTCAAACAAAACTTTTCCTGATTGATTGCGATTCATTTCTCCTAATTATTTCATCGAATCGCAAAACATTTCGAAAATTCCCAAATTTCCCTCAAAACCCTACTTTCTCATAACTGCTCTGTCAAATCTTGTTCAAGGACTTTGTGTCCCAAAATTTCTGTACGATTCACTTCCCTACTGCTGTGAGCATCATTTGCATTCCTCATTCCACACATTTCGCACAATGGTGAATCTAAGGGGAGGAAAAGTTACTGCCGGACGCAAGCATCCACTCAGGGATGAGGATGAGAGTCTTCCCACTGTCAAACGGACATCCAAACGCTTCAAAAGAGGAGCTATCAAGGGTCAAATGTCACGGCCTACACCACAACCCTCCTCTCAGCCTGAATCTGGACAGGGGACATCTTCTCAACCGCCTCCAAAATCAGCCCCTCCTCCTACATTCTTTGATGATGCTGCGAAAGACAAATACTCCTGGATATCCCAGAAGGGTATCATCCCTCAAAGAACTGTAAACCCCTCTGAATTTCGCTCCATAGGTTTAGAATCCATTCTGAGTCTATTTGCTTTCCAGAAATGGTCACATCTTATTTCTATGCCAAATGTCTACTATCCTGATATGTTGCATCAATTTTTTGCCAATCTAAGGAAAGGTTCTGACCCAACTGAAATATTTTCCAGGGTTAATGGGGTAGACTTAATCATTGACTCTGAAATTGTGAACTCCATTTTAAATACTACCATTGAACGTTTATGCACAGATAAGATTGCTAATTTCTTTTCTTATGAAGAGCTTCCTACTGCTGCAAATCATTTTGATGGGACAAAAATGTTAACCTATTTCAAAAGAAGTTTTTCCTCACCTGCTGATGCTAAATTGAATGATCTGGCTCCTGTGAATTTAATTGTTTTTTCTATCATTTCAAACCTGCTTGTGCCCACTGATGGGCACAGAACTGATGCAAACAAAATGGAGTTGTACCTCTTTTATTGTTTTCAAGAAAAAATTCGTATTGATTTTGGTTTTGTCATGTGCAAGTTCTTACTTCGCTATGCCACTGATTCTCGCAGAAAATTGTCTTATGGAAAGTTTCTTCAAAAGATTTTTGAGTTTAACAAAGTCCCTATTCTAGGTGTTTGTCCTAAAGAAGCATCTTCTTATGCCTTTACAAAAGGGTATTTTGAAAGAAAAAATCTTGTTTTCAAAGATAATCTGTGGGCTTATAAGGGTGCATCTTCTAGTGAACTTAGGTCTAAGACTGCACATGATCCTTCACCCATTTCACTCACTCCCATTCACCCTAGGAAGTCTGCCACTAAAGCATCTTCCTCTTCCAGTGATGAAGTAATTGAGCTCTTTCGTGAACTCAAACAGCATGTTCTTCTTCTAGAACATGGTCTAATGCTCACTATGTCCTCTGAGCAACAAACTGCCTTCCTAGACAAAAAGAACCTCCTGTTTCCCCCCCCTGTTGTTGAGGAAGTTTCCCATGACAAAGAGTCACACCCCACTGATCCAAGTTCATCAATTCCGGATCCTGGTTCTTCAACCCCTGTGACTCCTCATGGCACCTCTACATCAGATAAAGGCAAGGCACCAGTTGAAGAGGCTGCTGAAGATGATGAAGAAACTGAAGAGGGGGATCTTGATCAATATCAGCTCTCTCGGAGGACACCTGGATCCACTTAGTTCATCATTTAGGACATTTGCATGTTGTTTGTCTCTTTTATGTTTTTGTAGTATTCAACAATGAATGTGTAATGTAATGGATATTTTAAGTTTCATTTTGGATGTCTAAGTACTGTTTTGATGGATGTCTGAATATTTTGATGAATGATTGTCTATTCTGCTTATGTGAATGTAATGAATTTGTGGATTGTCTATTCTGATATTCTGATGGTCTAAGTTTTGATGTGTGAATTTGTCTAAATTTGTGAATTTGTGGATGTGGTGATGTGATTGGTTGCCCGTTTGTGATGACAAAAAGGGGGAGATGGTTATGATTGATGATTGGTAATGTTAGGATATGTTGGATTGATTGTTTAAATTTGGATTGGCTGATATGCTTAATTGATTAACTCGGATGGGCAGCTTTGTGAGGGGGAGTTTTCCAAAATTTTCAAATTTTGTGATTCACTAAGACAGGGGGAGTTCTTGTCTATTTTGAAAGAGGAAGTTTTCATTGCAATCATAAAATTTCATTTCAAACCTTTGTTTTGTCATCATCAAAAAGGGGGAGAATGTTATTCTTGGTTTTGATGATCACAAAGTATTTTGAAATGTATCTAACCTTCTTCGATTATAAGTGTCTTTACATATCAAAGAATCAGGTATGAATAGGTCATGAAATGCATTTCAACCAAAAGAAGAAGCAAAAACAGGATACTCACGTCGGACGGCCGAAAGGAATCTGTCAGACGTCCGAAAGGATAAAGAGCATCAAGAAGGAAGCTCTGTCGGACGCTCGTGAGGAAGCATCGGACGTCCGGAAGGATCGGACGCTTGCCATCGGACACTCATCAACCGCATCGGACGTCCGAAAAATTCCAAGCTAACTTGCCAACTCTCTGCCTACGATCGGACGCTGCGGTGTCGGACGATCAAGACGCATCGGACGTCCGAACGTCAACTTGGATGCCATCGGACGATTGGTTCAGACGATGATTTGATCGTCGGACGTCCGACAGCCCCAACGGCTAGTTGACTCTTCAGCTGCCTTCTATCCGTTGGAAGCATTGATGAAGCCCATTTCTGGTTCCCTTTAAAATCAAACTGGTCTGAACGAAGAAGGGACTTTTGCACACTTTGTTTACAAGATCTAGTGAGATATTTTAGCTAGAAAATAGTCTCCAAAGCAGATTTGTTTTAAAGTGGTGTGAATTTCTGTTAAGCTTTTCTTTTGTGAGTGAAAGGATCTTTAGTGTAGCTCTGTTGAGGGTTTTCTGAGTGATTGTAAAACTTCTTGGCTTGACTAAGTGAGGCTTAGGGCAAGGAGGAAGTGCTCCCTCCATTGTACATCTAGTTGATCGACTTTCATCAAAGAGAAGTAGCTCTTCCTTGTGTTTGGTCTTCAAGTTTGGGTAAAGCTTGGTAGACACTTGGTTTGTTTCTCCATTTTACATTTCTGTTTAATAAAATCTTCATTGCTTATCTATACTTGCTTCTCCGATCAATATTGCTATTGTCTTCTAATCTACTTGGTTGATCATTACTAAAAAGGAAGGTAAATTTTCATTAACGAAAAAGTGCATAAACTTGGTTAAGATTTTAATCAAACCAATTCACCCCCCCTCTTGGTTGTCTGTGGGACTAACAAAGTCACATTTAACAAGTGAATGAATGTACATCTTGTTGTAAATTAGTTACATGTTATAGCCACTGTATTACAATTGATATGAATCATTGTGCATCTAGTAATTGGTCCATACTCATGGAGTAATATTAGTTTGTCCCTCTCTTGACCGTGTAGTGTGTATAAAATAGAGGTGTAGAGTTGAATGAGGTGAAACTGAGGAAAAGACATATGTGTGAATAATAAATGGGTGAACCTTGTATTGTAAGTAAATTACATGATGTAAAAAATATATTACAATGAGTAGAAAGTGATTGTTTGGCCCTCAAAATGTAGAAATAGTAGAAAATACGGAGTTGGCTTATGCGGTTGTCATTAACGAATGACATAAGGTCCAGTGAGCTAAAGAATCTAGAATCAAAATATAATCACCAGCGTGGATGTACATACAGTTAAAATAGACTTACATCGTGTGACCAATACATTACAATCCGTATAAGTTAGTGTACATGGAGTTGTATTTGTACACAGATTGTCTTAGAGTAAAAGTAAGGTGATGTGAATCATTAATCATATTGATAGCGTAATAATAGAATTTGGTATACGAGTAATGTATGATTCATAACACATTATGAATGGTAATATACATTTATGTTGTCGTTTATGTACATACTATTCATGAAGTGTTGCAAATTAGGGTGTTTGATGCATAATTGGCAGGATCAGAAGTAATGGATTGCAGCAAATTGGCAGAAGATGGGACCCCTGAGTTGGGAATGGAGTTCAACAGCGAAGAGGATGCGTACAAGTTTTACAACAAATATGCCTTTAAAATGGGTTTTAGTGTACGTAAAGACTATCTGAATAAAGACAAAGACGGCGTGACCACGTCTAGGAGATATAGTTGCTGCAAGGAAGGTGTGAAGCGCAAGTACGAAGGTGATGTGATGCCAAAGAGGACACGAGCGCCGACGAAAACAGGGTGTGGAGCTAAAATGGTTATCGTGTTGTTTAGAGGAACAATGAAATACCGTGTGCATGATCTTGTTTTAGAGCATAACCATGAGTTGCACATTACTCAATGTGCGCACATGATGCCATCACAAAAAAAAGTGAGCGAGGCTCAAGGATTCCAAGCTGAAATAAGCGAGGACGCTGGGCTTTCATTGAAACAGAGCCATGAGCTAATGGGAAAGGAGGCAGGTGGGATGGGAAATGTGGGATATACTCGGGAAGACCTGAAACGATATCTTCGTACTCGACGGGAAAGGAGTTTGAAATATGGAGAAGCAGGTAGCATGCTGAATTATTTTCAAGAGCAAACACTCGAGAATCCATCGTTTTTTCATGCCGTACAGCTGGACTGTGAAGAGCAGATAACGAATATCTTTTGGGCTGATGCAGGAATGTTAATTGACTACAAATTTTTTGGAGACGTAGTCACATTCGACACAACCTACAAAACAAATAAAGAATACCGGCCACTTGGAGTGTTTGTGGGTTTTAACCAACATAGGCAAATTGTGATATTCGGTGCTGCCCTTATGTATGATGAGACTATAGATTCTTTCATATGAGTGTTTGGTACATTTCTAGAAGCAATGTACGGAAAGCGTCCAAGTACCATACTAACCGACCAAGATCATGCCATGGCAGCCGCTCTTTCAGTTGTTATGCCTGAAACATTTCACGGTCTATGTACGTTTCACATAAGGCGTAATTTTATGAAACATCTTGGCAATCACTACAAGGAAAATTGTGGGTGCATGCATGTATGAGTTTGAAGAAGTGGAACAATTCAATAGGGTGTGGGAGGCGATGGTGAAGAAACACAATCTTGAAAATAATGAATGGCTCTCCGGGTTGTATAGAATTCGTGATAAATGGGCAAGGTGCATGATGAAAGAAAGATGGACCGCGGGAATGCGAAGCACCCAACTTAGCGAAAGCCTAAATGCAGCAATTAAAAATCATTTGAAACTAGATCATGACCTTGTGCAGTTCTTTAGACATTTCAATCGGGTGGTTGATGAAAAGAGACATAATGAACTGATCGCAGAATATGAAATGAGGCAAAAGCTCCCCATGGTCGGGTTTAGGCAAACACCTATGCTTGTGCATGCATCAGAGACGTATTCACCAACCGTATTTGTTGCATGCCAAAATGAATATGGCGAGTCAACAGCTATGGTTATATTGAGACAACAAGATGCAGCGATGATTGTGGAGTTTGCGGTCATGAGGTATGATGGAGGACCTGAAAGAATAGTGGTATTCAATCGGAATGATCTAAGTGTACGTTGTAGTTGCAAAAAATACGAGAATGAAGGCATTTTATGTGGGCACGCGTTGAAGGTGTTTGATACTGTGGGCATAAAAATAATTCTTCCTGAATACATTAACAGGCGATGGACAAAAAGAGCTCGGGCTGGAGACTGTTTTGATCGGCGAAGACGGGAAGTTGTGGCTGATCCTAAAATAATGATTTCAACTCGTTATCGGGAGCTCGCTCCAGCCATGATTAAGGTCGCAACTCGAGCAGCAATGTCGGAGGACACCAGCAAAGTAGCAATCACTGTCATATCCGATTTGGCAAAGAGAGTTGAGCTCCTCCTCTCAGAAAGCGAAGAGCAACCTTTGCAAAATCAAAAAAATCTGAATATGGAGGAACGGGATAAAATTGAAATTGTGAATGAAATGGGGGAGGCAGTAGTCGCAAGAGGCATTAAAAAACGAGGCGGTGGGAAGAAAAGTAGAGTGATGCGAAGTTGGATCGATAAATTTGACAGAGTAAAAAGAAAATCTATATTATCAAGAACTACACAGACTACGGTATGGATCAAATTTTGGTACTTGGGGAACATTTATGCTAAAACTAAGTTATCGTTATACTATTAACTAAAGTTTAGGTATCATTCATTATGAAATAATACTATTGCCGTGTCAATTCTGTAGGTCTCAGAATCGGAGCCGACATCGGTTTCATTTGAGGAATACATGTTTATGGGATGTCGTTCATCTACTGACTCTGTTTCGGTTAGTATAAAATGGACATGACTGTTGCTTTTATTTGGATGTTTCTAACAGCATAAATAGTTACATTGATGTTACATTGTGTGAAAATATTGTTACAGCCGTCATTCCTCCTGATATACCTATTTTGTTTGTCTTATACAATGATTTGGCCCATACGAAACTCATAGACGCATTCAATGAGTCAGACAGTGAATGGCCCTCCAAACGCTGTTGCTCCCGATATCGATGAAAGTCAAACGGTATGCATACATTTAGTAGTTAAAATAAAGACCTTCTTGTTCGTGTAGTTGAGTTACTTTTTTTTCTTTAATTGTAATGGTGGGCACCCGAAAGCTGTCAAATCATGCAAATTATGTAGTTAACGTATGCTCGCTTTAATAACATATTATTTTTTATTATTCCAAGGTCCACCGTTTGACTAATCAGGGGCCTCCTGCAAATGTCCCTACAGAATAGATGCATCCCAGATTTTCTATTTTTTCCAATCATAACTCCTTCAGAGATGTCTTAATGGTCTGATATATCATTTTTGTTATAATGTCTAGTCTAATTTAACTTTATAAGTGAGCAATATAGGTACTGGTAATAATTTGTTGACAGTCGATTACTTATACCATATAATGTAGGAGGAGCGTGGGGCAATTTCAACACACTGTGATGTTGATGCATATCATGTATTTGCACTATCACCTCAGGTGACAAACTTTTATCTTTACAGCAAATATTTATGTAATGTTATTAATTGGAGACTTGGATATCGTATATCATTAATCGTATGTTTCATTAATAATATTTGCTGATTTGCCATCGTTACGCATTTCAGGGAAGAAATAACACCCAGGGATTGCAACTACGCGTTGATGTCGCTTCCCCCGAGAAGGAGGTTGATAAATGATGTTTAACTATACTTTTTGAACGACACATTAAGTGGTTGTCCCAACTTGGGAATGCTGCATATGTACGTTACAAGCAGTTAATAAGCTGTTACAACTTATTGACGAGGTTGTACAGGCACCATTGATGGACCCTCTTTTCAAATTTAGACAAGTGGATTACTATTGTAATCGCATCTAGTGTTAGTAGTCATCAATAGTTTGTATTGGGTTGTATAAACTTGTTAGAAAATATAAAGTTGGTAGAAAATTGAAGTAACAATTTTACAATAGAATTGAACGTGTTTTTGTGATCGGATATTTTTTCCTAAATCGACCATAACAGTTAAATGGCTATCGTGATATGTATACCATTCTACTACATTCAATTGCTTACCTTAATAACATATTTATTGGTATAGATCGCACCGCCAAAGGTACTTACGTATAAGATAACACAATCTAAAGTATAAATTGTCTTGATTTTGTTACGATGCTAAATTCGAATTATTATTGGGCTATTTTTTATATAAACATTATCATTTAGGCCATTTATTTTGGATCGCTTGACGAATTTAGCGCACCATTGACATGATGTATCACAGGCACATCAATTGGTATTACAAGATTTTAGGTTAATTGAATTACGGTCAAACCAGGTCACGACCACATGTTGGTAATAGGTGCACATAAGAAAATGATTCATTGGAGAACTAATTTGTAACATTAAAATGAAGTTTTACAATGCAATAGAAAGGAAGAACGAACAGTACACAATGGGTTACAACCAGTTAGGGATATGTTACTGTTACGTTACAACTAGTTACGACTGTTTAACAGGCATGATTAATATCCAAATATGGTAAGCAATTTATTTGAGTAGAGATTATAATGAGTATAGTTTTATCGCTACCCTGATGAACATTGGACTACATCCCTTGTTATTAGTTGTATCCCATACAACACCTGGGAACTCCGTCATGCATTAGACAATGGGGTATATACCTTTGAAAGTCATCGTCGCTTGATTCAGTAAAGTCAGATAGTCCGGGTCGGATATAAGCATGGGATCTGCTAAAATATGCTGAACATCAAAATGTTTTCCAACACCATGTCTTTTTGCGGCCTGGATCTCGTGAAACCTGTGAAGCCTACGCTCCATCTGCATAACTTCTCGCTGTAGTCTATGTAATATGCTTGCATCATTGGCTTGTGGTCCTATAACAAGATCTGCTGATCGACTTCTCGGGACGCGGAGGCCATGCCAACGACAAAATACCTCTAATTCCATTTTTCGCTCACGAGCAGGCTCCCATATGGGTTCATGGTCCATAACGAAATAGCCAGACGGTAGATGCTCGTTGACGGTATTTTTAAAAATGTGACCAGCTAGTCCCAGAGAGTTGTTGGTGTTAAGTGGAGCATTTCTGAACTCGTGTTTGGCACCATATAAAATCCTCCCGTCTGGTGTTTCGTATTTGCTTATGGCATTTGTTGGACCCAACGATACTTTCCGTCTTTTTTGCCGAACATTTGATGGTGAGCTTGTATGAGATCCTTCGTTTGTGGATTGCATGACTATGCTAATACCTACTATTTTTTGGTTGGATGAAAGGAAGGATCTACTGATAAAGAATTAGGTGGGAGAAAAAAAGATGTAGAAATTTTTAACGGAGCACCTGTTTCAGACCATGCATAGTAAATGGTTTCTTCTGGCAACTTGACCAACTGCTTGTTGTGTTATTTCATGTTGTTCTCCACGGGATAGTACCCCTGGGTGAGTAGATGAAGGCATGACAGCCACCTATTAACGAGAGAATAGACTAAATGTTTGGTCAAATGTATAGTGTGTTGATGAAATAATGATTCAATTCGATCGGGCCATGACCTGTACTCCAACAACAATTGGGTCAGGTGAATACCCAGTTATACATCAGTCACCTTACTTTTCATATGTGACAAGAAGTTACAACCAGCATATGTACGTTACAAGAAGTTAATAAGCCGTTACCGCTTATTGATGTGCTTGTACAGTCACCTTGTCATTTGCCCGTATGTTAAAACTTAGACAATTTGTTTACAATTTTTTTTATATGAGTATTACAGATAGTATTACAGGCACTTCAATAGGTATTACTCCTTCAGTACAGAAATGAAGTTACAATTGGCGGCTCGGCTTGGTTCCACATGACCACATAATAAGTAACAGTTTCGCAGAAGAACATGATACTTCGTTGGGACAAGTAATTTGAAAGTAGGGTAACTAATATTTAAAATGCAACAAATTTTGATTACGCCATGTACATGTTGAGTTACAACCAGTTATGTATATGTTACAATTCATTACAACTAATGAATTTCCAATCGGCAGTTTTTCATCTTATCTAGTTAAAACTAGTGATATTACAACTAGAAATTTCCTGATATTACAACTAGTGATACTACCGACAGTTAATATCTAATGAACCTTTCCTCTTCTCTTGTTTGCGCGATTGCACTTGACACAAACAATAAGTCCTCCCCCCAACACATAAAATTTCTTAGACACTTTAGTAAGTGTCTATTGAGAACATAGAGATGGTCGATTCAAACCCCAAAACAATTGATGTAGCGAGGCCTTCTCGAACATCTCATTAAATTAGCGAGATCTTCTCGAATATCATGCAACC